TGTTCCACAGACAGGAAGAACCAAACAGCTGAAAGCTAGCTGAGGTAACACCCACCTGGTAGGTGTCCCACAGACGGATGGTGCATCGAAGAGGCAGCTCCCTCATCAGAAGGTTGTTCATCCACCGGAAAGCAAACTGCAGGTACTCTACCTCGTACTTCTTAAAATGATTGTGAATGTCCACTGAAGACAGAAAGCAGATCTAAATGTTGTTTTGTTGTGAATAAACTGAAGAATCTCGCCTCGCTCCCGGTTCATCGACTCACCGTCTATCCTGCTGACCAGCTCCTCTAAGGCCTTCACTTTGTTCTGGATCCCCGGCTGGGCAAAGGTGTAGTTGTCCTGAAAGGAAACCCGTTTCATTAAACCCCAGCCGACACGGGTCAGCGGTGCATTTACAGGCTGATCATGTGTGACCCCACCTGGATGCCATCCAGCAGTTTGCTCATGCACCAGAAGCTGTCGGCTTCAATGTTTCTCTGGGTCTCCAGAGGCAGCGCCGCCATCTCGAAGTTCTCCACATCCTCCGCTGCAACAACAAAAAACATTGTGCATGAAACAATTCCAACAGCCCAACTGGACGAAACGATGGAGAAACGTTTAAAAACACAGTTACACAAAGCTTTGACCAACAAAATGAACAAAGAAAAGCAAATACTGATGTTCACTCAGCACAAATTGACGCCTGAATTGTCACTTACTGACAAACTCAGACAAGAACACGACAAAAAAGGGCGTGACAAGGTCGTTGATGCCCTGGACGTAACCGCTGGCCGGATGACGGATGGCCCAGATAAACAGAATCCGCTCAAACACCTGAGGAAAAACAGGAAACGCCACAATTTTCAACTGTTTGACAAACAAGAGACATCACACGCTCATCCACAAACTGTCATAGAGCGATCTGCAGCGATGGCCCGAACAAACAAAGACCTTATATGACATTTGACCTTGATTTGTGACTTTGACCTTGGAGCCGGGGTGATGAAAAGTGCACGTGACTGTCTAGTGAAGATTCAGATGCACATGAAGTTTAATTAAATGATCTTGAGCGGATCAGAAGTTAAACATCTGCCTTTGATGGGCGCATCCATCCATCCATCCATCCATCCATCCATCCATCCATCCATCCATCCATCCATCCATCCATCCATCCATCCAACATAGAGACAAATGAGACAAAGACCCATTCGCTCTCTCTCTCACCTAGGGACAATTTAGTTACCAATCAGTCTAACATGCATGTTTTTGGTCTGTGGGAAGAAACCAGAGTACCCGGAGAAAACCCACACAGCAAGGAGAGAACATGCAAACTCCACCCAGAAAGGTCCCCGGTCAGGAACTGATCCGGCGACCTTCTCGCTGAGAGGCTCTACCAACTGAGCCACCGTGCCGACATAAATCTTGACAAAGTTAACCAGTTGTAGACTCCAGGATCATTTCCTGACAGTTTCAATAAAGTCTGTCCTGTGGACAGCACATCAAGTCTTTTCATTCATCAGTCGTCCAGTTTTAGTTGTGACTCTGAATTACGAGTGATAAAAAGTAACAATAAAGTTGGAAAGAAATCCCAAATGAAGTCTGTAGTCGTGAGTTTTTAATGTTCTCGTGTATTTCAGATCTCACCTCTTGGACTGTCGGCTGCTGGAACAGCGGGATGAGAGGGTTGGTTCTGGGAATGTCGATGTGGATCTAACAGGAACAAACAGATAAACTGTTTAATATTTTATTAACGTGTTTTCTGCTGAACAGGTGAGACATTACCTGACGAGCTGCAGCCTCACCTGTCTGTACGTGTCTTTGTGGTGCTCATCAGTGATGGAGTGGTAATACTGCTCTATAAACCCAAAATACTCCTCACGTTTTCTTTTCAGCACCAGCTCTCTGCGCTCCTTGTTGGCTGGCAGGTAGCCCTGTGACAGAGACGGGTCAGAACACAGAACCTTGTAAAGTACAGAAATGCTGAGCGCTGAATGACTTTACTGAAATATGTTACAGTTAAAACAAGCTAAACAGAGACTAAAAGCAGCAGAACAGTAGCTAACATACAAAAATGGATGCTAAAACCAATTATAGGTGTTAAAATCAGCTAAATTAGCAAAACTGATGCTAAAACTTTAGCTAAAAGTAGAAAAACTGACTAAAAGCTTTAAAGCAGTAGCTTAAACAAAACAAGAGCAAAACCATAAATAAAAGCAGCAAAACTGTAGCCGAAATGAGGAAAACAGAAGCCAAAATAAGTTGTAGATGCTAAAAAGAGCAAAACAGATGCTAAAGCTAAAATTAGCTAAACAATGATAAATTTAGCAAAACAAAAGCTAAAGTGTTGCTAGCTTTCACACAGCAGAACATTTATGAATAATTTGAAGATGCTGTACCTGAAAATATTTCAATGAGGTTCGTTTTCAAACAAAAGTAAAAGTTTTAAAAAGTATAAAAAGTTACAAATGATAAGTCACAGCATCCATCTGAAAATCATCAATCCTCACACTAGGACTAAGCCCCTCCATATGCAAGTGGGTCATGGACTCCTTAACCAACAGACCACAGTCTGTGAAGATCCATAACTTCTCCTCCACCATAACCCTCAACACTGGCTCCCCTCAGGGCTGTGTGCTGAGCCCCCTCCTGTTCACATATGATTGTGCAGCTACCCATCCAGGCTGTCACATTGTAAAGTTTGCAGATGATATATGTGGGATGCATCACAAACAATGATGAGTCCAGCTACAGGCAAGAGGTGGAACACCTGGAGAGCTGGTGCAGGAAGAACAACCTTCACATCAATGTGAAGAAGATGAAGGAGATGGTCGTGGATTTCAGACGGTGCAAACTCATCTACACCCCCCTGAACATAAGAGGATCTGCGGTGGAAGTGGTCTCCAGCTACAAGTACTTGGGTGTGCACCTGAACAACAACCTCAGCTGGAGCAACAACACCACCAGCCTGATCAAGAAAGCTCATCAGAGACTCTACTTCCTCAGGAGGCTGAGACGAGCTGGTCTGGGAAGCTCAGTCCTCACCTCCTTCTACAGGTGTGCAGTGGAGAGCATCCTGTGCTCCAGCATCAACGTGTGGCATGGAGGCTGCACAGCTGCAGAAAGAAAAGCTCTGCAGAGAGTGGTGAAGGCTGCACAGAAGATGTTGGAGTCAGTCTCCCCATCATCACAGACATCTACACCTCCAGATGCAGGAAGAGGGCCACCTGCATCATGAAGGACCACACTCACCCAGCACACACACTTTTTGCCCCACTCCCCTCAGGAAGGAGGTTGAGGAGCATTAAGTGTAGAACCACTAGACTGAGGAACAGCTTCTACCCTGAGGCTGTTAGACTCACGAATCTCTAACCAGGAGAATCACTGTAATGACTCTTTAATAGATGATATTTCACTTTATCCATGCTGCTGGTTTCTTACTTTAAGCTGCTGTATTCATACCCATCTGCTCACAACAGACTCATGTTCAGGCTGCTGTTTAATACTCTGTATTATATTACATTGTTATTGTTTAGCTGCATATTTCTTAGATCCTTGTCTACCTTTTTTTTACTTATATATACGCTATATTTTTGCTATTTTTCAATGTAACTGGGACCTTGAGTACACAATTTCACTTCACCTCCTCATGTACCACATGTGATGAGAATGAAAATAAAGTTACCTTGAATCTTAAAATCAGCTGAACAGTTTAATATTTAACAAGTTCAATCATCTAGTTGTTTGCGGACCTCGTTAGATGCTGAAAATGTTTGAACTCTGAACTCAAAATAATTAAAGAGAACAGTGTGAGGATGCGAACAGGCTCAAGATCCAACCGGACCTACAGTAAACCTGCAGCCGAGCTGCAGAGCCGTGTGTGAAGCTTCAAGCTGACAAAACGAGTCAAAGAAAATAAGATTTAGTAAAACGGAAGTCTTACAGAAAGGAGCCTCCAGGTGATGGGACGGACTTCTCTCGGTATTCCCGACCAGCTGTGTTTCCGGAGTTCTTCTGTAACGTCATGGAGACAAACGGAAACACACGAAGTCAACACCGGGTTTGACTCGACAGAAATCAGATGCAGTGAGCTCAGCTGGATGATCGAAGGTCAGGAGGATTTTGAGAGTGGTTCTCAAGACCATCAAAAAACATCTCAACTAGCAATGACTGGGCAGAACACAGTTTAAGTTACAGGTGCACGGAATTATGGGAAAAATTAGAATTCACTCATGTGCCCATCACTTGTTGATATGCTGTAGTACGATATATTTCTGTTTACACTCAGGCAGGTTCTGATCAGTTCTCTATAAAGTTCACAACTACAAAATGGATCACATTTTAAATATATTAATTAATTAATTGAATATCTAAATAAAAATATAGGTTAAGTAATATTTGTACTGGAGGTTTTAGGAAAGGTTTTACATAAAGAGGAGTTTATAAACTTTAAAGGTCTTTGACAGAATGCACATCACCCGCCGCCCTTCAGGACAAAAGTTTTAAACCAATCATCTGATGGAGAGAAATAACAGAACTGCAGCTGTTTGACTCAAACCTCAACAATAAAGTTGAACCAGGTGAAGCTGACAGACGGACAGAGACGAGGAAGATGGACAGACAGGACAGACTGACGGATATGGCGCTTTGCCATTGTCTCAGCTCTCATCAGTTCTGCACGACACAACACCAGTTAAGGGTCCGCCCACTGTTGGGACCCACCCCAGCTCAGCCCGGTTTATGGGACCACCTTGTTTGAGGTTCTTAGCGGACTGCTCCGAGGGGTCGATTTTGAAGAAAGCAGACGGCAGCCATTGATTGGCCAGCAGAGCTACATCACTGGATGACCTGCCAGCAAAACTACAAACTACATCTGAACCGCCACTTCCTCATCCTGCTGACGGACAGCGCCACAAGAAATTAGCACATTTAAAGGGATATCAGAGACGATGGCGCAGCATGGATACACCTGGACTTATAAGCAGTGCCAAGATAAGCTAACGGAATTCAAGTCCGATTATAGGGCGATTAAGGACCACAACGGGCGGAGTGGCTCAAACACAAAAAGACCAGTTACGGCCCTGCCCACTCTACATTGACGACCTGCCCACTTTATATTGATGACCCTCCACCGACTTTATATTGACAACCCTGCATACTTTACAGTGATGGCCCCACCCACTTTACATTGATGACCCGCCCACTTTACATTGATGACCCGCCCACTTTACATTGATGACCCGCCCACTTTACAATGATGACCCGCCCACTTTACATTGACGACCCGCCCACTTTACATTGACGACCCACCCACTTTACTATGATGACCCGCCCACTTTACAGTGAAGACCTGCCCACTTTACAGTGAAGACCCGCCCACTTTACTTTGACGACCCCGCCCACTTTACATTGACGACCCCGCAACAGAGAGGGGAAACCGATCAGCCTCCACCATAGAGGCAAATTACGTCCACCTGAGAAGAGGAGATCTGAGTGGAGCTGCACTTACCAAAGGCAAAGCTGCCATAGTGATGTAGTCAGACAGACGGACAGATGGAAAGATAGACAAAGTCTTTTTTGTTTACCAACAGGAAAATATTTTACGCGAACTGTAAGAAAATGTTCGTTGGTCTGAATTCAGTAAAATATCATAAGAAATCTTCGATAAAATAAAAACTTAAAAAGCAAATTGCAGGACGTACCCCACCCCCCAACACGCACACACTGTACCTAGCTCAGTGTTTGGACCGGCCAGCAGCTGCTTGAATTTATCCAGGCGGCTTTTCTCCCGCACCGTCATGGGGGGAGCCCCCGAAGCGTTCTGGTCAGAGATCCGGGCCACCAGAGGGATGACGGGTCGAACCGGAAGAGACTGCTGCTTCTGCAGCGGGAAGCAAACTGAGAAGAAGAAGCCAAAACACAGAGAGAAAAAATCCAAACAAACATTTAATTTTAATCCAGATGTTTTCATATCTTTAAAAAAAAAAGAATTAGCATTTTCTTGCACAAGAAGCAGGAGTCAAACTCCTGACGGTCATGAACAGTAATTGTCGGTAATAGGTTGAAGTAATGTGGGTAGTTTAAAAATGGTGGAAGAGCTAGAAGGCACTAATGATTAACTAGAGAGTTCCTTGAGAAACTTTGACTGCCAGATCGCAGCCATTTAAAATTTTTGATTTGCCAGTACTTTGTGTTGGGATTCACTCTCAGCTTCCACCTCAACAAATTTCAGCTCAGTGTGGCAAAAAACAAAACAAAAAAAAAAACATAAATGATTTATAGTATTTTCTTCTTATGGTGACCATCTTGGATTTTTGATTTGGATTCAGATGTGACTTGCGACTGATCTGTCCCCCCTGCCTCTCACACAGTGACTGCTGGATATGGACTCCAGTGACCCCCACGACCCGAAAAGGAAGAAATGGGTAAAAATAATGGATGGATGTGATGGGGAACATACTCAGCTATAACCACACCACATTTTTGTTTAAAATCTCAAAAAATGGCTGATTCATAGTTTGTTTTAAGGAGAAAAATGGCGTCGCAGTTTGCAAATTACGTCGCCATGGTAACTCGAAACGCCAATAAAAGTACTAGCACACATCACGGTGCCGAGCTGGTCGTTTGGCATAACATTGGTGGGGTACACGCTGCAGTATGGGCCACAATAAAGTCGAAGGAAGAGCAGGACCCTTTTCAGGTGGATAATAACAGGTGGGTGCCATTGGCAGTCCCCAATAATGTTAATATTATTTAGATGTAGAATTTTTTCCAAGCACAGCATTTCTCCATCTTGTTCAGTGTTTGACCTGATAGAGGTGGAATTTGAACCCAGGCTGTCTGGTTGGCAGGCACACCCTCATCCTCCCTCCTTGAATAATGGCAGGGGAAACACTGATCTGATACGACGGCTTTCGTAAAGTACGCAGCACTAGTTTCATTGTAAAAATAAATAAAGAGAAACAGAATCACAATAGTGAGGATTTTTAAAACGCTCTTATAAATGATCAGCTGTGTTGCCTGTACAGTTTAAAACTAGTGTTTGTATTTGGTGGATTAGTTTCAGCGTGTCCTGGCAGGAACGTGTTTGATGCTTGATATAATCCCAGCAGCCCCACCCGCAGCATTACATCCCTCCTAACAACGTCCGTAACGAGCTCCACTAGGAGTCAAAAGCTTCTCTTGAGCTCCAACACCAGAACCAACTTGTAACTTACCTGGGGATGTCTTGAGGTCTGCCTCACTGTTAGACTTCACAACTTTGCCGTTGACCTGCTCACACTCCGTGCCGTCGTCTTCCTGGAGGTTCTGAGCCTCTGATTTGGGTGGTTTTGGACTGTGCGGTGCACTTCCTGTGTCGCTCGGCTGATGCTGCAGCCACTAAATCAAATAAAACCGCACACAGAGGAGATGTCGTCCTCTGGTTTCAGAGCAGCTTGTACCTAAAAATGACGTGCTGTCGTTACCTGGTTCTGCACAGAGTCCTGGCCCGATGGAGCAAAGGAAGCTGGGAAGGGAGCCCTACGGAAATCTTCGTCCTCCTCATCATCATCGATGTCCCAAGCATCGTTGGTGCTGCTGGCAAACTCATGGAAACTGCAGGCCTTTTTAGATTTAACATTGTTGAGCTTTGGTTTTGTGTCTTTTGGATACCTGCAGAGGTGCACATGGAGGGAGGAGCAAAGAGACAAACAGAACAATCACACTGGTGGCGTTTAACGTACACAAAACAATTTAAGAAGTAACACAACAACAACAAAAAGAGACCAGAAACACTCCAACAGGGTGTAATAAGTAAATAAAATAGCAGATATTGGGTCACAGTTGCACAGACAGGTGCATGCTCAAATATGTGCACGGAACAACTGAAACAAAACTGGTTGAAATGGAGGGAAACAAATAAAATGCGTCCATGCAGACCAGTCGTGCACGGAGCACTTACGTCCGCCGCAAACAGGGATCGAGAGGTGGATGCTGCGCTCCATAAACCGGCTGCACGCTGTGGAGGACGGTGTGAAATTCTGTTAAAAACGTCTGCGGCTCCTCGGGTTTGATGAAGTTAAAAGAAAACGAAGCACTCGGAACATCCACAGATTAATCATTACTCAGAGCCAGAGATGGTACAACCTGTGCTGAGGGCACATGTTTTTAAACTTTCCATGTCAGTAAGTGGAGAATCTAAAATGAGTAAGTTTATTAATCAGTTCTTGTCAGTTGCAGACAACATTTTGGTTTACGGCCAAACCACCGAGTTTACGAGCATACGTCCTGCACACGCCCGATTTCATCTGAGCTCAGAAGCGAAGCAGGGTCGGGCCTGGTTAGTACTTGGATGGGAGACCGTCTGGGAATACCGGGTGCCGTAAGCCGGGGTGGGGGGGCTGAGATGGTGTAGAGGTAGGGCAGCCGACTTGAAACCAGAAAGTCGCAGGTTAAAGTCTCTGCCTTGCCCACATGTCGTGGTGTCCTTGAGCAAGACACCTAATCCCCAACTGCTCCCCAGGCACTTACATAACTGCCTGCTGCTCCACCTGGGTGTATCTCGCGTGCGACGGGTTAAATGCAGAGAACTAATTTTGTCATTGTATGGAAACACAGTGACGACAACACAGCACCTTTTTTTACTTTTTATGATGTGGTCCTGTTGACGTCATCATGTCGTGATCTCCAGCGCTCACTGGACAGGATTACAGCTCAGTGTTAAGTGGGTGGGATCTGGAAATCTGAGGTCATGGACATCAATTGGAAAAGGGTTGCCTGTCCTCTCCGGATTCGGAATGAGATGCTGCCTCAAAAGGAAGAGTTTCAGTATCTTGGGCTTGGGGTGTTGTTCACAAGAGTTAGAAGAGGAGGCTGTGGAAAGAGATGTTGGCCCTCCCTGCTCAAGACGCTGGCACCAGCTGATGACTCCGGAAAATGTGAGATAATGGATGGAAGGACAGGTTCTGAGAAACACGCCTGCAAACCTTCATTATGTTTGGTCCGAGTTGATAAATTGCACAAACTCTTTAAAATGTGTACAGAAATGTTATTTGTCCTAAATGCTCTGGTATATTTACAGTTTTCCTAATAGAGATTGTTCTTACATAAAAATACAGTTTGGTTGCTCCGTTTTGCAAGATGCAAATTAAAAGCGAAAACAAAAATTTAGTTACAAGTCCATGTAAAAGCTGTGCTGGAATTGTAATTTAACTGTAAAAACCACCCCAGGTCAGGATAACCTTTACATTTGATGTAGTTTGTGATGAGGAGCTTTAACCAAGAGGTTTTTCAAAGCAACAAATCTCCACACACGTGAGCATTAAAACCCCGGCTGGTGCCAGTTCTCATGAAATAACAGAGAGCCTCGTGTGTCTGAGAAATGCTGATTATCTGTCAGAGCCAGAGTCTCTTGTTTACCGTCCTCTGGCCGGTTTTATCAGGAGCAGCTCAAGGACAGGCAGCCGGACTCGCCTTCCTGTTCACACGCTTCCAGAGTCCACCCTGAACACTTTCAGACAGATCCTTGTGGGTGACAAAGAAGGCCACTCCCTCTCCTTGGAGATCATCTGCTCTCAGATTTCTCAAACACATGCACGAGTTCCTGTTTTTCCTGCTCCACCACCAGCTCAGAACAAACGAGCACAAACATCTGGTCTCTTATTGATGAGGCCTGATGGGTTTATGATTTCTGCAGGTGCAAAAAGCATCTTGCTGTTTGAACTTTACTAACTTAAAACCTATGGGGTTGTTGAGGGAGTCCACATGTCCTTAGTCTCGAGCTTTAAGGTCAAATATATTTTATGAATTCTTAAAAAATACAGTAAACTTCCTGTTATAAAACTTTTATCTGTGTGCTGTTATGACACTGTGCAAAAGCTTTGCGTTTCCACTCGCTTCACTTTTATCACCCGCTGCCAAAAGGCAGAGGACAATGATGTTTTTGCTTGTGTCCATGTGTATTTGGGTGTCTGTTGTGTTAGCAAAATAGTAGACGAACCAATGAATCGTCAGAAAGAAGTAGATGTCCAACTACAAGTAGAAGTCAACCTCATTCAATATGGTTGCCACATGTATATTTTATGAACAGCTGCATGGATTTTATTGAAACATTCATTAAATATTCATGGTGTGTTACACTCAGACCAGGAGTTGTAATGACTTTCAGCTACTACCACACAACATTACAGCACAACATCTGTATAATTAACTGAATCACACGTTGTTTCGAGTTGTCAGTTGGCTTTGGAAGCCATTTTGAATCGCAATGTAGGTGTGCATCCATCGATTATTTCCTGAAGGATTAATTAAAAAATATTCACCGTTTCGAGAGATGTTTTGCTAACAGACGAACACAGCTGACTTCAGCATTTAATGCTAAAGCTTTAGAGTATGATGTGTAAACAAACATCTGTAAAATTGACTGAATTACAGCCATCGTTGTGTTTCGTAAGGGGACTTGGCTGTGGAGGCCATCTTGAATCAGACTGCAAATGTTAATCAGTTAAAGATGCACAAACAGTTAAGGTTTTCATGAAACCTGTCAAGTGGATTATGAGATTTTTTGCTAACAGGCAGACTGAGTTGACTCCAAACAGTTAATACATTTTTAAATAGAGATCTTGCACAATGTGAGTGAGCACAGAACACGTGTCGAGGATCAGTCTCAGCTACTACCACACCAAATGTTCCTGAAGTGTTTGAAAAGTTGACAAAGTATTGCCCGTTTTGTTTTTTTGTAATTATGGTCAGCTGTGGCAGCCATCTTGAATTATTTACCTAATTAAAGTTAATTGGTGTGCACATAGTGATTGTTTCCTGAAAGTTTCACAAGGTCCGTCCAGTGGTTCATGAGATATTTTGCTAACAAACAGCTTCGTCCTTCGGCGGCGGGCGACATATGGCACCACTGATGCCAACAACAAAAAGACAACTATAAAGACTGGATGGAAACAAAAACGACAATTTTATCTTTTGAACTCACGACGCAACGTCAGGTTCACGTCTCTGGAGTCAAAGACGTCGTCACAGCAGCTGTTTCCGTTGGTCATCCTGATAACAATGAACTACACTGACCATCAGCCACTTCGGCAACACTGCAGTAATTCAAGTCCCTACAGGAACAATACACAAATATGTAGAACTAACCTTCCGGGAACCTTAGCGTTCCTCTTCCAGAAATTGATCCTGTTGTCGGTGGCCATACTCGGATAGAGACACCCGCCCGGGGGCTCCTCGGACCACGAAACCACAAAGACTGGCGTGAGGAGCTGGGTGTTTTTAACAAAACAAATAAATAAAATAAAGCTGTCGTGTTTTCGCAGCTCAACCCCTCCTGCTTTCAGTCAGCCTCGGCGATTTTCTTTTTAAACGGCACGGAGACGAGCGTAAGTCACTTTCGGCCGCGGAGATGTGCGAAGCGGCGCTCTGGAAGCCGCCATCTTGGAGAGCAACGGTCGCGGCGCGTGATTGGCTCGCGAGCCTAACAGGTCCGGTCGAAGGCAGCCAATGGGAGGAGCCGGAGGGCTGTGTGGCGGGACGGAGGATGCTGACCTGCTTGACCTGATGGGCACAAGCCGAACCCCGCGGTCAAAACAAACTCCAAGGCGGTTAGCTGAAACTGCTGGAGCTTCGGCCGCGTTGACGCCAGCATTACTAAAGGTTTGTTAAAATAAAAACGTGGCGGCCTAAATGTATTTTTTTTTATTATTTATCAACCAACAAAAACATATACACGTGATATCTCCAGTCATTTCACGTTTGTGTGTGACAGCTAGCAAAGTATGTTGAACCACTGGACGATTTTTTTTATTAAACTTTCAGGAAAAAGTAATTAAATGTACGTCTATAACTCTTAACTTTTGGAGCAAACCCAATTTAAGTTGACCCCAACTTTAGAAAGCACATATAATGTCTGTAATTCAGTCATTTGTACATGTATTAAGCTAACAGGTGTGCTACTCATTGTGTACAACACTTTAGCATCCACTGCTGGCGTCAACCTTAGTCTGTTAGCAAAATATTGCTTTAACCATTGAATGCATTGCAAAGAAACCCTCAGAAATCAAGTTGCCACAGCTCATTACCAAACACAAAAAATGGCTGTGGTCAAGTTCATTTAGCAGATATTGAGTTAAAATTCTAAATGGTAGTAGCTGAGAGTCATCCCCAACACATACTCAGTGTGACATCTTGCGTTTATGCATTCAACATTATTTTAAATGTTTGTCTGATCTTAATAAGCCTTAATATTGCTACAACTAGCCTGTGTAAGTTGCAGAGTTTAGAGGTGAAGAACCAATTAATTAGTGAGATCTTCATGTGTATCAAAGCTTACTCACAAAAGAAGAAGTGAATTAAATTGTAGCCCAGACCATGAATCAGAACACTTCCTCTGCAGGGTGACACTGTTCTCCTTTTTTATTTACAGGAAGTTGCGTTTGCAGCGTCGGTCCACAAGAGAGAAGCATTCTCTGCTCCAAAAGCAGCTCATCAGCCAAAATGAAACCAGTTTAGCCACCACTTATTTACTGTAAATGTTTAAAAGCTTTCTTCGTTTTATCAGCGCCAGCGTTTATTTCCCTCAGAATTATGAGTGAAATGACTGTTTATGTTTTTTTGTTTTGCAGATTTTAAGCGTTCAGTTTTGCTGTATTCAAAGTCAGGCAAATGTATATTTTTTTTTTTACCCCAGGCTTTGGTTTGTTGTGTGTTTGACTCGCAGGTGCTCTCTGTTTGTTTAGGGAAATCACTGCAGGCTCCGCCCACCTGTCCTCGCCTCTGTCTGCGTCCAACGGACATCAACTGACAAATATCCAGGTGAGGCTTTAAAATCAGCTTGACTTTTTGTTTTGCTGGGATGACTCTACAGCCTGGACGTCAGGTCCTGACCCCCAACATTTGACTGGATTTAAACCTCTGCTGTGAGTTGTTTTATTTGCCGGGGGACATATTTGTAAGTTTTGTCTTGACTTTCTGAGGAAAACATTGTTGAAGGGGGAAACTTTCAGTCACAAGGCCAGACAATGAGGAACTGTGTGTGGGACGGCTGCAGTCCCCCAGAGGAACAACAGTTTGTTGTCGCTCTCTTCTTTTCCTCTCTGAACCACATTCATTTTAGATTTCCCCTCCTAAACGCAGCTTATTTTTAAATGTGAACTTTGTATTTGCCTCTGAGGAGTTGGCTGAAGCTCCTGATTTTTTTCTAAATAAAGTCAAATGCATTTTTTTTTTTTTTGCTGCACACGCTTCGTGGACATATTTTTGTTTACGTGATCTCCTTAGTTTGAGTTTGGATGTGAAAGAGCAGCATTTTGATCTTTTCTCCTCCTCTGAGTTTACATTCTAATTAAAAAAACAACCTCTGGCAGCATTCTTTAAGAAAAGAGGACACTTTTTTGTTGTTGTCTTTGGGCTGTTATCAAGTTCACAAAACTGTTTGGAAACTTTATGAAGGAGTTTCTGCTGGACTTTGCCTTTTCAGACTTCGGTATGTTTCTGTTTTTTCTTCATGACTCTTCTGTGTTTAAAACACAAAGTAATTGTTTAATTTATGTATAAACTGGATTAACTGAGAAAGTTCAGTCCGAACGCTCAGACTGAGGGGCTGAAGCTGTTAATGCTAAAATAAGCAGAACACGAGCTAAATGCTGCAGAACAGAAGCTAAAAGCAGAAGAACAGTGGCTAAAACTAGCAGCAGACCTGTTACTAAGAGTAACAGAACAGTAGCTGAAAGCAGCAGAACTATAGCTAAACGCTAAAAGCTATGAAAACAGTTTCTAAAACCTAAATGAGCAAAGCACTAACAACTTAAATGAACTAAACAGATGCTAAAATTAACAAAACGTTAATTTAAAACTGAACAGTAAATAAATGTTAAACAAGTTAAGTAAAACAGTAACTAAAAGTAGAAGAATAGTAGCTAAAAATAAACATTTAAATAAATAATATAATAATAAATATCTAAACTCGGCTAAGTATTAGCAATAATGAGAACATTTTTATTCCAATGAACAAAGGAGCAGAAGAGTAGCATGAAGTCAAAAGTAGCAGAAATGTAGCTAAAAGTTACAAGTAGCATAAAAAAACAAAAAACAAAGCCAGTTTGCTGATTTCAAAGAGAAATATGTTTTTAAAGCAACTGAAGAGTTTTCGATGTATTTGATGAGATATTTTATTAATAAAAACACGTGAATATTTAAAAAAAAAGTAAAAAAGTTACAAAAAACAAAGATAAAAGCTCGTTGTTTTCGAAGCTGAACAGTTTGATGCATGAATGGGTAGATTAGCTCAAAGTGTGCAAAAGTAGTTTGCAAAAATTAAATAGTTAAATAAACGTTCAGAATAAATCGTAAACGGTAAAACAAGAGAGTGACTCCTGAGTCAGCAGTGACACGTTCACCTCGCTGTCGGAGCCTTGTGATGAAGGAACGAAAACCACCTGGACCTCATCTCCACAGGTTCCTGACCCGTCACGAGCAGATCTGACTGAGTTTCCTCCTCAGGTGCCAGGTGATGACCAGCCACACTCCTCTTCCTCAGCTCAGAGGGTCTCACGTTCCGACGGCGATCGGGCCATGAAGGAGTGTGTGTTCTCAGAGAAAGGTAGGACAGAAAACAGGAAGTCTGTGTGTGTGTGTGTGTGTGTGTGTAGGAGTCTCTCATGTAAATTACAGACTTCTTCCTCTTGCTTCCTCTTTGACTGGATTAAAACTACAACGTGCAGGGAGTGTAAACAATTTCTACGTGTAGCTGCACACTGAAGTTCTGTTTAGCTTGGGTCAAATAAAACGACAAAACCATAACACAACCCAGTGATAAAACAACTAAAGGCAAGATACCAAATGTCAAAACTAAGTTTATGTTTTAAAACGTGTGGAAATGATAAACACAGTGGCAGCAATGAGACCTAGCCTTCCTTAAAGGAATGCACGTCGCCCGCCAGCCTTCATCTGCTGATGAGAAGTGATGGAGTCGTGTTTTGGTCCAACCTTTGAGAAAGACACGATCTCAAGTGATATTTTGAGATCTTGCAGGATGTGTGAACGCTCAAACATTGTGTTGAGAATGACTCTCAGCTACTACCGCACCAAAAGGAGCTCAATATCTGTAAAATTAGTTTAAGAATATTCTGTGCTGGCTGAGATTGATGAGCTATGGCGGCCATCTTGAACTGTGCTCTTTTGGGCTTTTGTTGCTTTTCATCAATAGTTACCTGAGCTTTTAATTCATTTTTAAAGGGATCTTTTATAATTTGTGGGTTAGACCACTTAGTTCTGATATATGAGCTGGACGGTTTTGGTCTTGATAACGTTTTTGCTCATTTGTCATCCTGTTAGCAAAATATCTCATAAAACATTTGGCAGGCTTAAAAGAAAACTAAAAAAGTAATCGCTGGATGTGCAACTACAACTGATAACCTCCTGGAGTGAAACAAATTCAAGATGGCCGCCACAGCCAGGTGACCGTCGGTAACACTAAAATAATTTTAACTCAGTAAATATTACAAATATTGAGCTTAAATTTGGAGTGGTAGTAGATGAGAGGAACAAGAACTCTAAGCGCTACACATCTTAGCATCCTCTGCTTGTCTGTTAGCAAAATATTGCCTGAACCACTGAATGAACTTAAATGAAACTCCCAGAAAGCAGTCGTTGGATATACATCTACAACCGATCCGATATAAGATGGCTGCCATAGCTAGCAAACATTCGCAAGCACAGAAATGTTATGATCCTGTTGGTGTGTGAACCCAGTGGTTCAAGCAGGCACAGGAGACTCGCAGGGAGAAATAAGAATAATATTTAAAAATATCAAGCTGACGAGGCAGCGATACTCGGAGAGCGTGAGGAATGAAGAGACAAGGAGGGAGACAGGACCAAACGTCGTGAAGGACAACCTAGACAACTAAGAACACCGAGACACAGACTTTTCATTCAACCTTTATTTATACAGGTCAGTCCCATTGAGCCTCGGGGACTTGTTTACAAGAGAGACCTGAATTTTAACAAATAGTGATGACAACAGTGGACAGTCGTAAAGGATGCGTACAAATTGAAGAACAAATGACAGAAAATGGTATTTAAAAAACAAAATAAAAACAGCTGGATTATAAGGCAATGTAGAAAACTAAAAACAGGAACATGTCCGCGTTGGTTCTTGCCATGAACTTAGAAGATGTTTGAAACCACGTAGAGAGGTCAAAGGTCGAGAGCTTCAGATCTTTTAGTAAGATATTCCCGGAAACAGGAGCGGAGTAGGAGAAGGTCCTTTTGTCTAGTTCAGTCCGCACTGAGGGAACACTGCAGGTAATGATGTCCTGAGAGCGCACGCTGTAGCTGCACTCACGCAGAGACATGTAGGAGGAGATGTATGAAGGCAGCAGACCAAGAAGTGATTTAAAGATGAAAATGTACCAGTGGGAGAGTCTATGTGAAGTTAATGATGTCCAGTTA